TGACAATTTTAGAAAGAAATCTGCTAAAAAAAGTAAAAATTATCCTCCAGCAGCTCCGCACCATCACACTAGGTAGGAAATAACACGCAAGAGGAAGGAAACGTTTTGAGATTTAACCATAGGAGAGCCCATTTTGATTTTGTAACATGGGGGAGTGTCATGGGATCTCATTCGATCACATGGCCACTGAAACAAGATATATGTGTACAAGAAGAAAAGCAAAGGAAGGCCCACGCACATGCACAAATTCTTCCTGCATTCACTTCCACCATCCAATTTTCCCCTTTGCATTCAGTCACTGAGGTGCAGGACATGACACAATCAACCTAAGTCTATATGTCCACTGTCCATGACGAATACAGTGACGCAGAACATAGGCGCATATCCAAGGATAAATTATCAATTCATAATAAGGGACATTAGCTTTGCTAACCAAGTTTCATTTTTGTTATGAGGGAACTTTTACTTCCTTTTCATCTGTTGCATCATTTACTACATCCGGGAGGTTCTTCAAAACCTGCATGGCAACAATAGCAAGAACAGTAATTGCAAACCACTCAATATCCAGAGCAATGCACTGGCAGTTTATTACCTGGTAGAGATGCCACGAGGCGAAAGCATCTGTTGCAGCATATTCTAGTTGCTTTTGGGATAAAATGCCAACTTCCCAATTTCCCAGTCTTATTTTCTTGGACTTCTGGAGCTGTTCATTACAAACTTCAATAAGATCTTACAACTATATGTCTAGACTTTGAAACCAAACCAGTAAATTAGATATTATATACAAGCAGAATGTCAATATTACATTGTGTTTGTGAGATTAAACATTGCACGAACCTCCATACACTCACAACTAAGAAGTAGAAGATCAATTAGTGGTTACAAGTAACAACAAGAAGACAAGAATCAACAAAGAGGAAATACAGCATACTTGCAATAGCATCTCAAAGAGGGTGGGGAACGAAGTCTTGATCTCACTGAGCCAACAGGCTAGTGATTAGGCAATAAGTAAAGCTTTTGGACATGGTTGTTACGCAACAAACTTTGTTTGAAGTTAACATTATGGTGGATGGAAACAAAGATAGACAATCCATCAAGAAACTTATTTAGATTGACAAGATCAAGTAGCCAGACAACCAATTTGCCAAAGAAAAATCCCACATGTAATCTATTTGCCTAAAGTTGTCTTCAAGAAAATTATCCAGAATTTACCACCAAGCTTTGCATAAGCTACACTGGATGCATACCTCTTTGCAAACAAGCTCCTCTGTCAAAGATGCAAGGCTCCACTTTTGGCAACCTCCGCCTAGCTTTTGATTTGCTAGGTATGATATATCTTCCACAGCCTTAACAGGTACATTGTAATCTTTGAAAATCTTGACCGCATCACCACCAACTGCAACTCCAACCTGTCCATGTCTTATTAATATAATAAAATAAAACATACTAAATACAAAATGCAAATCGAAGAATTCAAGCACTCATATTGAAAATCTGAAACTTAATGTGAAAGGCATAACCCACTTTTGATATTGAAGAATCCTCAAGAAGAAACTGCAGACTTGGAGGTATTCCAGAATGAATAATATGCATGATATGACAGAAGCTAGTGTCACAACATATCTGCATCACTGCAGCCTTCCCAGGCATAATACCTGCAGGAAGAAGACTTTAATAAAATATTGTTATCAAGCAAAAAGTCCAGTCTTAGTGCATTTTCCTAAACAAACTGACAATGACCCTTCTGCATTTGCTCAAAAATGAGGAAAAGAGAAGGAAACGAAGCTTTCCTATTAAATTAAATTTGTTGTAACTATGGTTTTCATTCATAAGCCCTCAGAAGAGCCTTTCCCTCAGTTCAATTAGACATTGGACAAAATTTTGTCCTTATATATCATTCAAGCCTTTCCCTCTTATTCAATCCAATGGCCTGTGGATCCCATAAGTTATTGTCATACCCTTCAAATACTGGAAAGGGAATACACATATAGAGAGATGATCTGAATGAAAATATTATTCTAGACAAAAAGCTCAAAAGTGCTAAACATAAAACATACATGTGATGTGTTAGGAAGTTAGCCACCTAATGACCCGGACAAGCACAATGCAAGAGAAAAAGCAATGGGTGCTTACAACTTGCATACACATGGGCATACAGGTTCTCCTGTTCTTACTTCTGTTCAGTAGAAATTGAATGTAAGAATGATAATTGATTAATACCAGGATGAAAAGCAGGGAAACAGAAAATCCAAGTTCCTAACACAAACATATCAAAGGTGACATGATGAACAGATATGGATGCTGGGTCCAATCCTCAGCAAAATAAAGAATTGTCATTGGTAAACCCTTAGAGGGGAGGAGTTACAGCTTGCAGGCCATACAATGTCCAGCTCTTATTCTGTGGCATGCAAATTGCAAAGCAATGATCCCCAATTCTTTATAGTAAGGTTTCGTATTTAGTTAAGATTTTGGCTGGGGTATGGTGTGGTAAGTAAATGCTAAGACTCAAACTCACCAATTTCATGAGATTATAAAGACTTCAGAAAATAAAGCAATGCAGGGATTATTTCAACCAACCTCGACGAAATGAAGGTTTCCACTCAATATCAAACCCTACACTAACTTGACCTGCTTCATTTTTCTTAGCTTTAAGACACTGCAAAAGCTCTGTTGCAGCTTTCTCTACGTCCTTAGTAGTTCTGCTATACAAAATACTTCCTCCAAATCTTAACACAGGATATCTCATTCTTGAATTCTCTGCCAGTGAGAACATGATTAACATTTCAACTAACAAACTAAAATATATGATCAAATAACCTAATAACATGGGAAAAACACATTAGAATGAGAATTAATCTTTGGAGAAAATTACTCCACCTAGTCTAGAAATGACA